TATATATATATATATATATATATATATAATTTTATTTGACCTATTTAATGTTTATTTTATAGTTTTGACTTTAAAAACTGTTGAACTTTTGCTTTGTGAGTAAAGTTTTAATGACACTCACAGCCAGAAAGCCTGTTGTATTGTCTGGCAGTAATTATAATGGCAAACAATGCTACTCAAAGGCAAACATTAATGTTGCATAGTATCAACCAAACACAGAGACTGTAGGCTTAGCGAACAGGGTGGAGGAGAATCACTGGACTGTGAGGGTTTTGTCTTGGTAATTGGAAAGCACATGTTCCTGATAATTGTGTTCTGGTATGCTGTGCGCCACGCAGCAGACAGCTTTCTCGCTCACATAGCTGCATTCTTTCTCTCTCCCTCCCTCACGTATGCACAAACATAATACTGCTTAATACTGCAGAAAGAAAGCTATATAGTAAAGAAGACTTCTTAAACTTATATTTTGATGAATGTGGCAAAGCATGTTGGCTGGAAACTTGGAAAAATGTATCTGACTAAGCCCTCAAGGTGTGGCTGGATGATGATCTCACCATGAGTCTCACTAAGCCTTTGTGCAACAGTCAAATACATGCTCCTACTTGTGATAGACACGCTCACTCACAGGTCATTCAGACACGGGCCATGCAGTTGGCACAGAACACACTGCAGTAAATCAGAAAATGGCTGTAGATAGTTAGAGAAAAAAAGTTTAAGTCACTTCCTAAACTTCCTAAACCTCTTCTCACCTCTCACCTCATTTTCCAGTGTGGTTATGACAGTACGGTGTTATGTCCTTTATGTCCTCACAACACCTCTCTTGAGTAATATATCCTGTTTTCCCCACCCATAAAGTTCTGGGTACACGCCCAGTGCTTTGATGGGAAAAAAAGCAACTTGGGAAGATTGGAATTCGCAGAAGAGGCATTTTTAAAGGCATTGTACTGGCTTAAGTTAGAAGAGGCAAGAATCAGCAGAAGTTTCCTTACAAAACTAGGTAAGCATTCCAATTTGATCCTAAGAGGTTTGAAGGACAAACTCTATTGTATATTTGATGAGATTTTGTCTGTTTAGAATAAAATAAGATGTTTTCTTCTGGGTAGCCTATTAGCATAACAATTTTAACTAGGGGTTTCTGTGTTTAGGATATTCTTCATTTATTTAACTTGTTTTGATCTCTGTTTGCTTTTTTTTTTTTTTGTGGAAGTTGAGGGCACTTTTCAGATGGTCAAACTGGTCTGTTAGCTGGTTTTAATGTGCTTGAACTGTGGAACACAGAACTTTGGCATCAAGTTAACTGAGTTCCATAAATAAGCTTTCGTGCCCAATGCAAATGTGTCACTTTCCGTTTAATCCCACTCTGCGTGAATATTTCAGTCCTTACGCGCGAGCGTAGGCTAGGCTCACTTGTCCGGTGACTACAAATAGCCGATCCGATTCCATATAGATGTAACGCAAGCCCTTCTCCCTTTACACCAAAGAAGAAATCAGAAACCTGGTATTTATTAATTCAGAGCGTTTTCTCAGATCGCACGCGTGCAAATCCTCCGCGTGAGGTGAATAGATTCGCTGCTTATTATGCGCCGTTTGCTGTGATAAGCCCTGCAGTCGACCTTACGGGAGTTGGGGGGGAAAGTACTCGATCCTTAACCGGACGAAGCACGACCTCAATGTGTCTGCGGCGACACGGCCACCAGAACGACGTTAATTATGAATACAAAGATAAGACAGCAACGGTGGGAGCTGTCTGATAACACAGAGAGCTCGAGACAACTTGTGCACCGTTACCTTCAAGTGCTGACAGCTTGGTACAAGCAAATTATTCACACCCCATGAAGAGACCGAGAACAAGCTTCTTATTCTACGTTTACATACATACACTGGAAAAACGAACACCGCCACTAAATAAAAAATATTCTTAAAGGGACAGTCCACTCCCAAAATTAAATTGCGTCATCATTTACTCACCCTCATGTTGTTCCAAATGTGTCACTTTGTCGTCCTTCACTTCACTGTAGAAAAAAGATGACTGATATTACATATTAATATTACAATGTTGACATTCTCCAAAATGAGTAATGAGTACAATTAGTGATTTACAGCTACATTTAGTTATAGAAAGGATATCTAATAGCCTAAATGAAATACCAGTTATTTTAGGTATCAGATCATTCAGTCATGTTAGGACAATGAGTTAACTGTGAGAGCTGTACTGTAAGTAAGGTATGATCTTGTGGGAACAAGAACATATTAAAGAAATAAGAGCTGTGAACCACCTGTCCACACAAGTGCAACAGTTTATGTGAGAGCTGAACATAAGAAATGCAAACAAAACCTTATTCTCTCAGTCACTTTCTCAACCAAATTCTTTACATTTTCATCCAGTGATGGTTGAAAGTTTGACATTTTTCAGTAACATCAGGAAACAAGGGCAAACCACAAGTAGCCTGGAGGGACATCTAAAGGACCAAGAATGGAATGCAGTTGAAGAAAACTGTGAGGAGAGCACACTAATAGATACTATTGCATTTTTATCTGCCCAGTGATTAGAAATTCAGTTCAATTAATTCAGTTGACCTTGTTTAGGGTAGACACCATAGGTTTTATTCACAGTGTCACCACAGAGCATTTTTTTATTTATTTGGGAAGCTTCTGAACTTGCCAAGCTACAAGCTTAATAATTTTAAACAGCTACTGTATACTACAGTCAAGCTACTGTTTTGAACTGCAAACAGTTAAGGGGGAAATTTATTTAAAAAAAATAACAAATAAAAATCATTTTAAAAACAAATTGCCCTGTTAGTTCTTTGCAGTACATTTTCAAAACAGTAGACTGCAGTGTAGCTTCTTCAAAATATTGAAGTAGGCTATCTTTCAAGAATTATAACTTCACTAAACATGGCACAAACACAATAAGTGATTCTGAACGAATGAACACTTAGTTGGGTAGAATTAACAAACAGTATTAAACTTGAACAGGTCAATTTTAGAATAGAATAACAACACCATAATTTAACAAATGAGTCAAACTATGTATATTTCGGGGACTCGAATCAGTTAATCATTTTTAAAATCTGTTCATTTACATGAACCATCTGAACAAACTGATTCAGTAGAATGAATTGGACTTTCTAACACCACAAATAATGGTACGTTTACATGACAACTAAACAGAAAAGTTTTTCCTTTGCATTTTTGAAAAGTTGTTGCATAAAGACGACAATGTTGTCAAAATGATCCCGTTCACACGGATCCACTAAAATGACAAAAAATGCTGTTCTATTCATGCCAGGCCAGTAGCTGGTGAAGTCACTTTGTTAAGAAACACATGTGCACATACTAATAGACTGAACATGTAATACGCATGAACTTGTCGTCACCATTTTCACAAATGTGCATGTTTGTAGTTTACATGATAACGCAGTGGTCTCAAACTCAATTCCTGGAGGGCCACAGCTCTGCAGAGTTTACCCTTATGAAAATTAGCCATGGTTTTACTAGAAATAAAACCAAAGAACCATGGTTACTATAGTTTAACCATGGTAACCACAAATTAACCATGGCTTTGCTACACTAACCATAGTTTAACCATGGTATGTGTGGTAAAACTGTGCCAAAAAACCATGGTTACTACACTTCTACTACAATAAAACCATGGTTCATTTTCATAAGGGGAGCTTCAACCAGGACCTGCTTGGAAGTTTCTAGTAATCCTGAAAAGCTTGATTAGCTGGATCAGGTGTGTTTGATTAGGGTTGGAGCTAAAGGCCGTTTCTCAAACGGAAGGCTCCATCCTCCAGAGGTCGCATTTGCAGGCTGCATACGTCATCAAGCCTGGTTTATTTCAATTAACTGAGAATTATATTCTATTTATTTTATTGGGAAAATATTATATTCATAAATGTAAATTTTCTTCAACATTCCCAAAGTTACATAATTTTCTTTGTGACTTTAACTACCTAATTATAACAATAAAAAACAGTAATACCAAAATAAGTGTCAAATTTGTGAAATAAATAATTTTGATTTACTACCTCTGTATTTCTTTGTTTTATCTATTTATTCTTATTTATTTTTTATAATTTTTTCTTTGTCTTCCTATATTATTTTTGTATTCATAATGTCATCCAATGTTGTATTAATTGTTGAAGTTCAACCAAATTCTTTACATTTTCATCCAGTGATGGTTGAAAGTTTGACATTTTTCAGTAACATCAGGAAACAAGGGCAAACCACAAGTAGCCTGGAGGGACATCTAAAGGACCAAGAATGGAATGCAGTTGAAGAAAACTGTGAGGAGAGCACACTAATAGATACTATTGCATTTTTATCTGCCCAGTGATTAGAAATTCAGTTCAATTAATTCAGTTGACCTTGTTTAGGGTAGACACCATAGGTTTTATTCACAGTGTCACCACAGAGCATTTTTTTATTTATTTGGGAAGCTTCTGAACTTGCCAAGCTACAAGCTTAATAATTTTAAACAGCTACTGTATACTACAGTCAAGCTACTGTTTTGAACTGCAAACAGTTAAGGGGGAAATTTATTTAAAAAAAATAACAAATAAAAATCATTTTAAAAACAAATTGCCCTGTTAGTTCTTTGCAGTACATTTTCAAAACAGTAGACTGCAGTGTAGCTTCTTCAAAATATTGAAGTAGGCTATCTTTCAAGAATTATAACTTCACTAAACATGGCACAAACACAATAAGTGATTCTGAACGAATGAACACTTAGTTGGGTAGAATTAACAAACAGTATTAAACTTGAACAGGTCAATTTTAGAATAGAATAACAACACCATAATTTAACAAATGAGTCAAACTATGTATATTTCGGGGACTCGAATCAGTTAATCATTTTTAAAATCTGTTCATTTACATGAACCATCTGAACAAACTGATTCAGTAGAATGAATTGGACTTTCTAACACCACAAATAATGGTACGTTTACATGACAACTAAACAGAAAAGTTTTTCCTTTGCATTTTTGAAAAGTTGTTGCATAAAGACGACAATGTTGTCAAAATGATCCCGTTCACACGGATCCACTAAAATGACAAAAAATGCTGTTCTATTCATGCCAGGCCAGTAGCTGGTGAAGTCACTTTGTTAAGAAACACATGTGCACATACTAATAGACTGAACATGTAATACGCATGAACTTGTCGTCACCATTTTCACAAATGTGCATGTTTGTAGTTTACATGATAACGCAGTGGTCTCAAACTCAATTCCTGGAGGGCCACAGCTCTGCAGAGTTTACCCTTATGAAAATTAGCCATGGTTTTACTAGAAATAAAACCAAAGAACCATGGTTACTATAGTTTAACCATGGTAACCACAAATTAACCATGGCTTTGCTACACTAACCATAGTTTAACCATGGTATGTGTGGTAAAACTGTGCCAAAAAACCATGGTTACTACACTTCTACTACAATAAAACCATGGTTCATTTTCATAAGGGGAGCTTCAACCAGGACCTGCTTGGAAGTTTCTAGTAATCCTGAAAAGCTTGATTAGCTGGATCAGGTGTGTTTGATTAGGGTTGGAGCTAAAGGCCGTTTCTCAAACGGAAGGCTCCATCCTCCAGAGGTCGCATTTGCAGGCTGCATACGTCATCAAGCCTGGTTTATTTCAATTAACTGAGAATTATATTCTATTTATTTTATTGGGAAAATATTATATTCATAAATGTAAATTTTCTTCAACATTCCCAAAGTTACATAATTTTCTTTGTGACTTTAACTACCTAATTATAACAATAAAAAACAGTAATACCAAAATAAGTGTCAAATTTGTGAAATAAATAATTTTGATTTACTACCTCTGTATTTCTTTGTTTTATCTATTTATTCTTATTTATTTTTTATAATTTTTTCTTTGTCTTCCTATATTATTTTTGTATTCATAATGTCATCCAATGTTGTATTAATTGTTGAAGTTAAGTGTTTATACTTGCAATAAAAAAAAAACTGAGCATTATATTCGAGAGTCATAAGCATATTACAACAATTTACGCTTAATTAAGAATAATGGTCAAATATATAACTGTTAATATTCTAAAATAAGATCTTCTTTATGACGTATGCAGCCTACAAATGCGACCTCTGAAGGATGCAGCCTTCCGTTTGAGAAATGGCCAAAATGTGCAGAGCTTTGGCCCTCCAGGAATTGAGTTTGGGACCAATGCGATAACGGTATCATTTTCAAAACTTGCACTTTGAAACTCGTTTTAAAGTTTTTATTTTCATGCCCCCAATATGCCATTGTTGTGTATATAAATGGCCAAAACGCATAAAAAGTTTTCAGTTTTTAGTTGAAAATGGTGTTGTGTAAGAGAGAGGCCCGTTTAGGATGACTCGATTTGCAATAATGATTCAGACTTTCCAACAATATGAGATGGGACTCTTTAGGATGAACTGATTCACTAAAATTGCACTTTTCAGCACTACAAATAAAAGAGGGGAGCATTTTGGACAAATCAATTCACAATAATAATTCAGACTTTCCAATGATATTTGGTTGAGGTGAGTGTGTTTGTTTATTCCTTCAGCTCAGCATTTAGTCGTGTTACAATGCTACTTTTTGGGTACATTGGGTACACTGAACTTCACACTGATGAAAAAAAAGTAACAAATTCAGCTAGTATCGTCACTACTTTTAGTTAATTGCTCTCCAGCACTTGATGCTGTTTTGTTTAGAATTTTGTGGCATCAATTGCAGTGCCTTTCTGCGTGGTTTTAGTGCTCGTTTCCATTTGGCAGCTGGCATGTACTGCAAATGTTCATGGGTTTGTTGACTTCTGAATTTCACAGCGTCTCATTACATGACAGTTTGTTTGGGTCCCTTGGGACTAATCACTAGGAGCACCTCTCAATCATCCTGTCTGATGCTTCTGCCTTAGTCTGACCAAGTCTGAGCTTGAGTATCACCTAATGAGCACATCTCATTTAGAACAATGACAACATTTTTAAGACAAAGACACTTCTCTCTGCGGCAAACACAAGTCTCTCACAGCTAAACACATGACTTCATACAAATAAAATCTGTCTTTCCACAGCCACAACTACAGTAATGCAAAACCACACTGGTTGCTCATAAGAGAGAGGATTAATAACCCTGATTATCAGTAAATTCCAGCAGGTCTTCCACCAGTAATTTTCACCCCAAGCCCTGCTCAGGCTTCTCTCTCTCTTTCTCTAATTAGGTTAATAGAGGGCCATCAGTAATTGGAAGGACGGCTGAGCAGTGGTGTAGTGTACTAATGTTAGTGGTGCAGTGTAAGTATTCAGGTGTGACGTCTGTCAGATGGAAGATTTTCCTGAAAGGGGTGGCCTATAGAATTACCCATACGTCACACGCACATTAAAATCACATTAATTTTGTGCGTGCATGTGAGTGTTGCAGCTCATCTCAAGGGAAAATGAAGGCCTTGTTCAGACAGGCAGCAAAATCTGATTACTAGGGATGCACAATATATGGGAAACATATTGGTTATCATCCAATATTATTATTTTTTATTTTTTTTGAATATATGAAATTGTGCATTGTCATTTTTATATTAAGATAACCTTTGACGTCATATAGGCTAATGCTCACTAAGCTAGTCAATTAAAACACTAATAATTTAATAAAATAGTTCAATATAGTCTTCAGCAGGTCTCAAAATTATAATTTTTTTCATTATTATAATTTTTAAATACACAAACTAGTATAGAATTCCAATATCAGTCATTCATCAATATTGTCCAGAACTTTTTTTTTATTTTTAATTTGGTCTATATTGTAACAGATTATTAGAGTACATGTACTCATGTACTCAAATTTGAACATTTAATTCAATTTATTACTTGCAGTTTCCTGTTTCCAAATGTACCTGCAAAATATGAATGAATTTTTTTTTTGAAGTAAATCCTACACCTTTTTTTCAGTGTATACAGTATGTATTTTGTGGAATTGTGGCCTTCATTGGTGTTTTACTGTACCTGGGGTTTGTTATGGATAAGCTTGCTAAATGTCACTGGAAGGAAACCCAAATTAGATCATTAATTATTTGTTAATGTCAAATATGAGAGGATCTACAGTACAAGAAAATGAAATGCAGTAGGTTACACTTTATTGCTTTACTTTGTGTGTCAGTAGGGAAGGTAAAAAGGGTTATTGATCCAAGAGGAGTGGGCATCCTTCAAAGAGTGTGTATGGGCTTTTGTGTTTGTATGTTGTTGGATGAGAGAGAGAGTGTAACAGACATGTAGCAGGCAACCCCAGCGGTAATGTGAGCCTGTGGCCTGAGTGGATCGAATGTCCGTTAAAGATCACAGGTTCCATTGTCTTGTGGTATACACTCTACAGCTCCACACACTCCTCCTCTGCTCCTCTCTCCCTCCTCCCTTCTTCATGCTCTTTAATTATTCTAGCATCATCCCTCTCCTCAGGTCACTCATTTTCCAGTGCCTGCCCTTCCTTTAGTCATCCCGCTGCTAAAATGTCACTTACTAACATTAAGACTCCATCCTAAAAATAGATATTGCAGTGTTTTCCGATCTTTTTATCTCAGGTACCACCGTAACCCCTTCAGTAAGATTTGAGTACCCCTTCATCGATACCAAAAATGAATTCCTATGAACCTACTGTATATGAAATACAGTAAAACAAAAGCCATCATTTTTTACAAATGTTAATGAGAAGATAATAATTATATAAAATTTTTATATTATATTATATTATATTATATTATATTATATTATTATGGACTTGTCATCCGTCAGGTGTTTATCTGTCTTTGGCCTCAGACACGGGAACAGGCCTCATTCCTTTGACCCTGGAAAATGGACTATATCATAATACATTATATTAAGTCATACTTTCTGTTTTTTAGGCTAGGCTTAACAAAGCTACATCAAATTATTTACTTATATTAATATTTATTTATAAGTACTCCCTGAAAATTACCTCCCACTGTTAAAACCAAATTTTCAAAGTTGTAAATAAAACAGATTATTGGAGCACATTTTACAAGACTTACACTCTAAAAAAAAATGCTGGGTTAAATGCAACCCAGTGCTGGGTAAAATATGGACAAACCCAGCAATTGGGTTGTTTTGACCCAGCGGTTGGGTTACTACCCAGAAGGTTGGGTTAAAAATGTAACCCAACCGCTGGGTCAAAACAACCCAATTGCTGGGTTTGTCCATATTTTACCCAGCACTTGATTGCATTTAACCCAGCATTTTTTAGAGTGTAAGTGTTTGAAATTTCGTGTTTAATTATTTGCCTTTCTTTGTAATTATTTGTGAAATTTACCTGCAATTTCGAAGTGAAAATCGTTTGTAAACTCTTGAGGTACACATATAGTGACAGGATGAAAACTGAATCTTTGTTTATAATGTCTGTTCTTCTCTCCTTTATACAGTTACAAATATGGAGGGTGCCATTAAAACAGTTGTTATGCAGTTCCTGTCTTCAGCACGGGGAAAAGAGAGCCTGGGTGGGAAGAGCTTCCAAAAGTTAGTTCAGAGTCAGCTGGGAAACATCCTGGGTGTAAGTAACAAATCTCTCATTTTGCTCCATTTAGTTGACACATAACATGTCCATGGACTACAAGATAAAGATTTTAGCCTCAAGGTATACATAAGTGAGTATGTTTGTTAAATAATTGTTTAATCACCCTTTTGCCTTCACTGGTTTATTTTAGGTGGTCCTGTCATTTACAATTAATGTGACAATTAAATTAAAAGTACAAATATTTCATAATCTCTCAATTAATATGAGGTCGTAAGTGCTGCATGCATAATAATTATAAGAGAATTAGCTAAATTAATTAAAAGTAAAAGTAGTTTTAGATGAAGTATAGCATGTCGCAACACAGAACAAAAAAAAGTCAAGACTGCACTTCATTGGCTGTCTGTGTTTTCTGGACTAATCTTGATTGGGCAATGCTAAATAGTTGAGGATTTCACACTCTCTCTGTCTCTCTCAGGACACTGACAGCTCTTCAGCAGTGAAGGACATGATGAAAGGCCTGGATGACAACCAGGACGGGAAGGTCAGTTTCCAGGAGTACCTGACGCTGGTGGGCTACCTGGCCAACTCACTGAGTGAGCAGAAAGCACAGAGCAGCGCAGCCGGTGGACCATAAGAAGCCCAAAAAGCATTGATGACACTTGGGTTGATGACACTGACAATCATTTGTAATGCTGGAGTCTTGCACCAGTAATGAGAGACTGGGGATAGTTGTCACCATTTTTTTACTTATTAAAAAGTTTTCAAGGTAGCTTGCTTTAAAAAAAAAAAAAGGTCAAACCATTGTTTTGGCCAAAACACACTGTATTAATAAATTGTGTAAAATTACCGTAAATTTACATACATAACAAAACACAACTCCTTTAGCCCTTGTGACTTCCTGTTGTAACAACTAGCCTTGGTCTCCAATGCAATATGAAATCTGCAATGATCTGAAAACACTTTTAAAGTCTCTGATATTACAATGAAATTATAAATCTGTTTACATGTACTCGCATTAATGAATTTATAAAACAATGTCTGACCTGTGGCCATGTACAAGTGTTAAATCAAGTAACTTTTTGTTGCATAAATGTTTGCTTTTTTTTGTTATTTTTGCTTTCAATGTAAACAGGTGTTTTCATATATGATTTAATTGTTTTACTGGGAACGAAATAGGCTTGATTAGTGCTTAAAACAAGGCATAACTGGTGAACGCAAGCCATCAAATATACTAAAAAGAGAGTCAATGTCAATGTTGTACACATCAGATTTGTCCATTTAAAAAAGTTAAATTTTACACAACTGGAGAAATGTTTTTGTATAACCTTTCAATTAAAATATGGAAATAATGACAAAATTGAAATTTTAGTCATCCTTTAACTTTCAGACATGTAATACAAGCTAAAGATCATGGTGTTCTGGGTACAGCCTGTGCCCTAGCATGAATACATGTTTTTATGTGTACACATTTTGTGTGTTTGTCAGTGTCCTTTGAATTTGGCCATTCGTGTGTGTTTTCAGTCCCAAGCCTTGGCTGGCATACGTGTAAGGACACCATTTGCTTAATGATGAATTAACACCTGTGCAGCAGTATCAGGTGTGACAGGACCACTTGTAGTCAGATGCTAACACACACACACCTGAGAGATTATCAACACCTCTTAAAGACCCTTGGGTTGTTAGTAACTACATTTGTGCCATGTAACCTTGTTTGGCCTGTAACATAATCAGTCCTCAGGCACCTGACCCCATTTCATCTTATGGCTTATGTGCCATTATGCTAATAATTGTAGAAAAGTGCATCAAGAAATTAATTACAATTATATAGACTTATATACTTACATATATAAATGTGTTAGATAGATAGATAGATAGATAGAATTACACCATTAATAAGTTTGACCAATCCCTAATTATATTATATAACCTTTCATTACATAACTTAAATAATATAGACATTAAAATATAAAAAAGACACTTCTTTATATGTATAAAGCACATTTTAAAGCATAACTGCTGGTAATGTAGTATTTCTATAGCTCGGCTGATTTTCATTATAGCGATGTTTGTGTCTAAGTCATCAATTACAGCAGATAAATCATTTAGTTCGGGGTGCTGAACTATCACGTCTCTAAAAGTTTAATGTGACAAGCACCAGTACATATAACTAACCTTTAGGATCAAACATATCTATTTACCCAAAAGCTCTTCTTTCAGGTAAGTCCAGGTCTTGTATATACATGAATGTCATGTTGTATCATTAGATAAGCTTGAAAACATGACTGGTAACATTTAATGAAACAATAAAGTCCATTACATGTACATTTTAAAGAAAATTGCCTTATATTTTCAAATTGATTCATTCAAATCTTATGTTGATACATGTAGTCACGTTTATATATATTCATGATTCACAAACTGAGTGTCGATCAATAAAACAAAACATCGATTATGTGGCTTGATTTCATTTGCTCAAGTTACCGTCTAACTCAGAGAACTTTCTCTCTTTCAATTACGACGATCAACATCACATTTACTCCTTTAAATAACACTGTTTTCACATTTTTTCTTGCATCGTGAATGTGTAAACAGAGAGGACAAGAGGTAGGCAGAGACAAATGAAGGATGGATGGAGGAAGGGAGGAGGAGTGTAAGGTATGGTGGGAGGAGGACCAAGTAGGTATATAAGATGCTGGCCATCGCCTCCCGTCTTCACCAGCATTCATCTCTCCTCAAGGAACAGAAGAGCAACAACCTTCTAACAGCAAGGTAAGGGAAAGAAAAGAATGGATGGAAGAACAGACAGTAATTGTGAATTTTTTAGAGTTCGCTTTTGTGCTGCCTGATGTTTCTAATGAGCTTCTGGACATGACATGCTTGGTCAGATCATGTGCTAAAGAAAAGTTTGATGTAATGAGCTGCTATTGGACAAAATTCTTTAATGTGGCTCTCCACCTCCAGTTCTGCGTGGCTTGTGGCTCATCTCCATAAAGTATCTGAGGAGGCTTTTCTTCTCCACTGAAGTTATTTTTGCCAACACAACCCAATATGTCTATCAGTTCATCCATCAGGACAGGGCTAAGCTCAAACCGAGGGCAATGCTTGGTTAAATATGTGTGTGTGTAGTGAGTTGTGGGCACTGAGATTGGCTCGGATTACACTTGGCCGAGTAACTTCCTCCCCAGGTTCTGGAGTGTTTTTTCCAGTTTAGGATTTCACCCTTATCAGGCGAGTCACATTTCCCTTCTGTAGTTAAGTTAAGCCCCTTGTAGGATGATCTGGAGAGGGAAGGAGGGGTCAAAGCATGTTGAGCTGAGAATGTATTACTGCTTCTTTTGCAATGCTTTTACTGTTGTGGTCTGAAGAAAATAAGTCTGCCTTGTGCTTTTAAATATTTAAAAATGAGCCAGAAACACTCCCCCTAAAGAAAACCTTTTGTGCATCCTTGAGTGCATTTATAAGTCTAAATACAGCCGCTCGCTACAGTGACCAATAAATCTTTCTTTCCAGAATGTCTAATGTTCTAAACTCGGAGAATGCCTCCACTCTGGAGAGCGCCATGCAGCTGATGATCCAGACGTTCCACAAGTACTCTGGAAATGAGGGCGACAAATACACTCTCAGCAGGCAGGAACTCAAAGAGATGCTAACGCAGGAGCTGGGCAACTACCTTGGGGTAAGGAGAAAACAGAGTTTTGATTTCTTTGTGAAAGTCAGATGTTTCTGAATAACTTTATCTGCGTCTCTCTTGCTCCACAGAATGCACAGGATAAGGATGCGGTAGATAAAGTTATGGGAGACCTGGATTCAAACAACGACGGTGAGGTGGACTTCACAGAGTTCGTCATCCTCGTTGGTGCCCTCACTGTCGCCTGCAACGACTTCTTCCTCGAGTATCATGAAAAGGATGAAAAGAAGGCTGAAAAGAAAAAGTAGAGTTGCATTTCTCCGAACAAAAGCCAACACATGACCAGCGAATGATGATGAGGGGGAAATTAGGGGAGAAAGGGAATATGTGTGTGTGTGTGTTTGTGTGTGTGTATGAATCTTCCTTACTGATACTTAAAAAGTTTCACATCATCTCTGCATCCACATCCTGCATGCATGCAATCCTGGGTACACAAAATGTTCCATGAGGCACAACATGTTTCCAACCCCTGAACCTATTAGACGCATTAGGAATGAGATTTTGACATGGTCTTTGTTGAATATGTGAATGTGTTTCTTCCTTTCTTTTGTTTTTTAACAATTGGGAGTTGTTAATTTTAAAATAATCTCTCCATATAACAATAAACCGCAGATTTAAAAATAAATAAATGCAGTTGGTGTGCTTTTTTCGCAGCAAGTGCAGTGGCAGGGTGTTTGTTAATGAACTGTTTCGTATTTTGTCAATGATACGAGGATGGAACAAAAATGGGTTATAATTAACGACTTTAATTAAAACACTGATGAAAATGTAACGAGAAAAAACACAAGGCATTAACAGTAAGTCTTTTTTTTTATTTTAGAAAGAATGATTGTTTGGACATCCAATTAGTCAGTAACGAGTGAATTTCCCATATGCAACTTCCAAACCGCACTAATGTATAGCTATGCTATACATTAGTGCATAGTGCACACTATGCACAATGTATAGCTAACGATAACAGGTTCTCAAATGTGAAGCACCAAACTTTAACGAGTTCTCAAATCCTGCACACATTAAAATATACAGTAGGCCTATATTGTACCACATTGACGATTGTCACGACACCCAATGAGGAAGGGTTGTGTGGAGTTTCTGTACTGATGTAAACAAACTAAATGGTTCGTGCACGCCAGATTCAAATTGTGGATTTTGAATGAATGCGAATTAAATTACAGTCCGTTTTTACATAAAGCAGTCGAATTAATTCAGAAGACTTGGAATAAACCACACATCATGGACTACTTCTATCATAAAGATTATAAATTGTTTATAAATACTACAACATAAAAACGAATCTGAATGGCCTAATTTTACAAAAATAGATATATAGATATATAAAGTGTACAGAATTCTTTTTAGCTAATAACTCAGCAACTGTGATAGAATCAAAATTATTTTTTATAAATTTTAGCTTTAACCCTGAAAAAAGGTACATTTCATTTTATTGATTATTGATAAACTAATTTTAATTTGATTTAAAAAAATAATTTTTTTAACTCCTCCTAAACCGTTTGGTCAGTTCTTCACCAAACTTTGCAGGCCAGCTCTAGACGTTGCTGGCAAAAATAATTTAGATTTTGTTTAGCAGATACAATTATTTATATTTGTCTGGATTGACCCAATATGACTAACATGTCTATGCGTGCACAAAGTTAAAACTTCTCAAACCTTGTCCATATGGAGAACAGGTCATTTTGAAGAAACAGGTTTAGTTTCATGAATTTTGAAGCTGTATATTAAATTTGGGTAGAATTGGTTAGGATGCACTAAAATACGTTTTTGCTAATAACTCTGGAACCATTAGTTACAATCAAAATTCACAATAAAAAATATTCTGATTCCTTCAGTGTCCCCAAATCAGTTGATTGAATATTTCTGCAAAAAGCATTGCTAAGATATCAGTTAACCGATGGTCTTTTTCCGAGCTTATGTATATCTGCTGAATGCAATGTCCATGTTTAACAAAACTGGACACACAATTAACACATCCATTAAGTTAAAAATGTTGGATGTCCGTATCCTCTAACATATTCTCTAATATGACTCAGTCACCTCAAAAACTCTCTTATATACTTTATTATATTTTTTTCTTACAGGGTTTCTTATAAATTCAATTAAATTATACTTATCTTATAAACGTCTACACTTGTCTATCTTATACACTTATCTATCTTATACACTTATCTTATAAAATGTCTTACAGATTTTTTTAAGAAGTATATATAAATTTAAAGACTATACAAATAACTATTACAAGTATTGCTGCTTCAAGTCGAGGTGGCAGACACTACCAGGACATGCCGGCCCTCACAAGATGCTAGGGCTTGAGTGGAGGGATGGAAAATCCACTCATATCAGCCCGCCAGATGCAAAGCTGACTGAAGATAGAAAACAACAGGTTGGCCATGACAGGAGTTGTTTTCTTAGGTTCTTCATGTCTTACTCCGTGACCTGATAAAAAAACAAAAAACAAAAAAACAGCATTAATAGTCTAAATACATTACAAATTTGATTTGGCAAACCAAACCAAAAATGACAAAAAACATTTAGCTCATCTTTAGACTTAGTACCTTAAACCAGTCACGGAGATGCATCTTCTCCAGATTGATTCTCTGCTGTGGATCAGACTGCAGACATGAAGAAATCATCTGGCAGCATTCTGTC